TATAAAACAGGTCGAGTGGAGACCTGCGATCTTAATCACGCTCTATTTATTTCAATTACGTTCTGTAATCAAGTTGGCAGAAATCAGCGGACAGCAGCGACCACTCCAGAAAGAAATCGTAAAAGCAAAGCTCAGGTACGCCGGTTCCCGTTGGAACGGCGCAGTAGACGACTTACGTGACACGAGTCATACGAACAGGTAAAATTTGGAATGTTCGCGCGTGTGCCAGTGTGTGTGTGTGCGCGACGAGGAAACTACGCATTTCACGCAAACAAGCAGAAATTACGGCTCTGCGTGCGGAATGTGTAATAGAGTCGCATACTAAGTAGCCTAAATGTATTACTTGGGATTTTGTACGCGCGCGCGAGTTCCTCTACTTTGGTCAAAAGCAAATTAACGAAGAACAGTCCAGAAAACTGCAACGACAACGAAGCTTTTGTAATCAATCCAAACCGAAAAAGATTGTAACAACCATAATATTTCATGAATGAACAAGTTCAAAAATGTTTAAATTTGCTTCTGTTGAATGATCAAGGTCTATCTATGTTGTGATTTAAACGTAATTCGAACTGATATAACTTCGTAATAATTCAATCGATCTCGTTTCAATGCGTCAAGCTTCTACTTTAACACTCGTAAGTTTCTTTCTTCTTCTTTTTTTCCGAAAACGATTTTACATCATGTAGGTTACTCCTCTCTCTAATATTTAAACGTCTGCAGAAATATCAAAAAATTGTTTTTCATCATTAAATCTACCATGGTCTCGAGGATTAAAATTTCCTCTTTACGACTCCTTAAAAACTCGCTGTACGATTTTTTTTTTTTTTTACCATTTTATCTTTAAACTTGAAACATTACATATGTTGGAGTTTCTTGAATTTTTGAATCCTAATATTCAACGTTTAATAAAATGAAAGAAAGTTCGTAACAGCGAATGTTAAAGAGGACACTTTGATCTTCGAAATAATGGATCTAGTTGTAAAAAAAAATTTTCAATACTCCTAGCGACAATGCTCTTAGAGAAAAGTATCTTTCCTAATGTATTACAGAATATTTTTCTTCGAAGATGAACACAACTGTCAAAATAAAGGAGGCTTCACGTTCTAAAACGACATCAAATTTATCGTTGCACGAACTTTCTTTTTTCACAATTTTTTTTACGTCAGTTTAAATTTTATCCTTAAACAGATACCTAAGTCTAGTTCCAAATGTTTTTTTTTAATTTAAACCCAGGTGTGGCGAACAATTATACAGAGGACTAGTCAACCCTCGATCGATGCTCGTCGATGACGTTATATTTCTTTTTTTTTTTTTTTTGTTTTTTGTCCGGTGAACTTTGGAAACTATTCGCATGGATTGCGTCGGATATCGCGTTTACCTCGGCATAAAATTGAATTTTATTAGGAAAAGCTCGCCCTCGTTCAGCTTCTGGTATCCGGTATTAGTATATCGTAATTGGAAGCCGCGGAAAGTTTGACTGTCCGCCGTTATATCGGTATATTCTTGATCTCGCATCGTTTGCGACGACGTCGTCGTCGACATAATTAAATTTTTCGCCGAGCGATTACAGGCGGAAGGATCGCCGAGAGAGAAAGAGAGAGAGAGAGACGTCACTTGAAATTTTCTCGTTCGAAAGGACGCAAGATGTTAAACAAAGGAGATCTCTTCCCAAGTGACCTGAAATTTCCGCTAGAAAGTTTACGCTACGAGCAACAGTTAAGGACGCTGTAGGATTTATCAGAAAATACTGATGAGCACTTTAGATCCTCTGAAGTCCTCTGAAATCGCGCGGGGTTGAAACTTCGCTCGCTATAGCAATTCCCAAGGGTGGAAGGTATCGTTGGATTCCGACACTTTTTAGAAGGTTTTATATTCTACCATTGCAATCGCGGTCAATTTACGATTAGGTTACGACGCCTCTAGTCCGCTTGATGAGAAAGAATGCCGCTTCTTTTTCCAAGCACGTCTTTCTATGTTTATGCTTTTTGGCAAATCGCGAGGCGAGTGGGTGAAAGAAGTGCAAAAGAGAATTAAAACGCAAGACACAAAGAATCCTCGGACCTTCTAGGAACTGTGAAGGAATAAGCTGAAGCTATAAATGACACTCGGGACTCAACTCACCTTTCATGCAAGCAAAATTAATCGTCTCACATTGTACATGCAGGTAAAAAGGATCGTCGGATCCAACACACAGATTAAATTGTAAAAAAAAAAAAAAAGACGCAAGTCAATTGGATTCTATGCTGCAGCGCTTTTGAATAAACGTCGAATTGTTTATATAATTGTATAATTCTAATATTCTCTGCATGTACTGGAGAATTTTCCCTATGAATACATGATCGCAGGTCACTTTACGAGGACTATCACTGACTTATTATTGTCTGGTTGGTGATCCAACAACATTACAGACAGGATATCGAGCGAAATTTCAACCATAGAATCCGAAAACAGGTATGTCGAGGGGGGCAATTAAAAGTGATAGATCATCGACGAGGCGCTTAAAGACATTTTTTCGAGAAAGGAAAAGGAAATGTGTCGTCAGGATGAGAGAAGAGGCATCTAACGCGGGTCTCATTAATCTCGCTCGCTACGGGAGGCCAACAATAACTGCGTGCATTACGATTACAATCGAGCCGCGCCTCGATAGAAGGTAAGGGCGATCGGCCTCGTGTTAATAAATCACGATTAAATCTGTCGCGAGGCGGTCTCTCGAAGAATAACCGCGCGTTACGCCGCGAAATTTATCTCGCTGTTAATTAATTCTCACGGCGCGACGATTACGCGTGCTCCGCTGTGCTAGAAATTCAATTCATTAGCGAAACACGCGCCGACATAATGGATGCACGCGCTTGGACCCCTTATGGATCGCGGTATATTCTTGATCGTGATACTGATGGTTTAAGGCCTAATGCAAGGTGGTTTGTTGCGC